GACGGGCGGTCCCCACCTTCTCCCACTGGCTGTTGATGGCCTGGGGGGTGATGGAGGTGTAGGGGTTGTTGCCGCTGAGCCGGATGTTGTTGTACTGGGCGATCTTCTGCACCTCGCTCTGGATGCCCTGGATGGACTCGCGCTCCTTATTGGCCTCGGGCAGCGTGGCCTTGAACTGCTCGTGGGCCGAGATCAGGCCCTGGGGACAGGAGAGAGAACCGCAGAGTTCAGCGACGACGGCCAGGATGTACCTGCACAACCTCCTTCCTCGTGGAGTTTTCAGCTGGGAAACTGGAGCTGCTTTTCACCGGGAATTCCCTTATTCAAGAAGCACCCCCAGACGCCCACAAACCCCTGCAACCTCCAACGGCCTGTTACCCCTCTCCTGACCCCACTCCAGCCCTCGAACCCCCTCCCCACCTGGATCTCCTCGATGTTGTGGACGATGAACATGTCCTGCAGGTCCTCCATTGCCCCCTCCATCCAGTTGTTGAAGGGCGCCGCCCTCTTGGCGTACTCCAGGTACAGCTCGTCGATGGACTCCAGCTGCTTCTCCGTCCTCTGCCAGAGAGGAGGGAAAGGCTCCGTTAGCGACGCCCAGCGTTAGCCCCGCCCAGCGTTAGCCCCAGGGGCAACAGAGCGATCCTGCAGGAGGCCTGGCCCTACCTCCAGAGACTCGCGGCGGCTCTGGGTGAGGGTGCCCAGCCGGTCCCACTGGTCGCAGATCTTCTGGCAGCGGGCGTTCACGCTGGGAGAGTCGTAGTAATCCAGCTCACTGAAGGAGGGGCGGGGCGCAGACGCACACCGGGAAGACGGAAGAAAAGAGGACTTGCTCAATTATACAAAAGACGTCAAAGTTAATCAAATGTGTGTCTACAACAGAACCCCAGACCCACTCTGACCAACGTGGCCCCCCGGATTTCTTGTACCCCCCCCACTCACTTGAGCTCCTGGGCGATGGCGGCGATCTGCTCCACTCTGTCCTGGTGGGCAGCCAGGTCGCTCTCGAAGGCCTCGTGCTTCTTCAGCAGGGCCTTCACCTCCGAGAGAGAGGCCGTCTCATAGTCCTTCTGAGTCAACATGGCCTCCTTCCCTGAGGGGCAGAGACAGGGGTCTGTCCACACGCTGACACTGCACTGAGCCGATATGTTGTATCATACTCTGACAACCATGTATAGAATGTATTTTTGCAGTACAGCACTACGGTTATTATGCATTATGGAGTATGTCAGTATTGGTGTTATCTCAGGTGGGTAGCTGCGTCAGCATGCGTAGGCTGCAAAGGAACAAGTAATAGGTTTATTCCATGCTGAAAAAAATAAGAAAGAGCCCCTGGAGCTTTCTTCAGGTGTTATCTCGGTGTGTATTCCAGTGCTTGCACACAGCACGACTCTCTGGTTCGATCTGCACGGGATCTGTAATCCACACCAGGAGGAGAGCAGTGCAGGGGTGGCGGACGGGGTTCGAGAGCAGCGAGCGAGCGAGCCGTACCGTCAGTCCAGCCCTCGTGGATGGCGGCCTTCTGCCTGAACTTCTCGGCCAGGTGGTCCAGCCTCTCCAGCCGGCGGATCTCGTTCAGCAGCCACTCCTCGTAGCCCTTCTCGGCCTGCTCCAGGCTGTGCCAGGCGTTGTTGATGTCCTGGACACACGCACACGACAGAGGAGGGGGCATCAGTGGCTGCGCCCTCCAGCTCCAGAGCTTCACACAACCGATCTGACTCGCGGGCGGCACTGCCGGCCCGCACAGTCTTGCCTAGCACATCGGAGAGGCCCGTGACACCCCCACCCCCCCGTGCTCAGACCGGCTCAGAGCCCGTTCCACGCACACACCTCGGGGCTGTGGAGTCTGTAAACTTCGTGATTCCGCCCACCCCATCTCTCCCTTTTCATAGCGCAGAATGAGATGGTCCGAACTGGGGCCTTCAGAAATACACACCTGATGGACACAAGGAGTGCCCAAAGCTCATGTGGTGCCCACCCCTTCGCACCCATAGAAAAGAGATCAAAACCGGAGCGACCTTGAGACACAATACAAAGCATAAAAGGGAGCAGGTACCACATGGCATGTGGCCTAGCTCAGCCTGGTCTCCTTCGCAGGGCCTGATGCAGCTGCTCACACAGCACACCAATGAGATGAAAGTCTCCGCAGGACGAAGGGGCAGTTAGGTGCTGCTCAGAGTGAGAAGGCCAGAGCTAGAGACCACACTGACTGCCAGCACAAGGATGTGCCTGACGACGCTTCTAACAGACCCTTCGCTCAGCTGCACGCCTCGTTTTCCTGAGAGCCGAGAGTGAAACACAGCAACGGAGAGGAATCGGGCCCGCATCTTTCCTATCTGACAGAGAGACAGTGCTCCGTCCCAAAACGCAGCAAAGAAGAACAGCGCGTGGCAGAAGTGTGTGCGTGGGGGGGGGGTCTTTCTGCACGGCCGCTCGACGCGGCCGGAGCCCCAGGGGCAGCGGCGGGCTCGCTCACCGAGACCATCTTGCCCTCCGAGGGCATGAAGGCGGGCCGGTTGCTGAGGCGCAGCTTGGTCTGCAGGGTGTTGAAGTTGATCTCCAGCTGGCACTTCTCCTGCACCTTGGGCGGCTTGTGGACGCGCCGGTAGTCCCGGAAGTCCTCCAGCTTCTGCTGCATCTCGTGCATGGTGCGCTCCGGGGCCCGGTTCTCCAGCCAGGGGATGGTGCGGCGAATCCACTCCAGCAGCTGGGCGGGAGAGAGATGGGGGGGAGGGGTGGTTAAGTCCCTGCAGGGGCCGACACACGGGCACACGGACAGACACAGACTCAAAGCCACGGGGCCACACGTGGAAATGCAAAGGGGAGTTCGACAGACAGAACAGGGAAAACGTTTACACAAAGAGTTGCAGAAGGCTGGAGCGGGCGCCCGAGCCTGGGGGCTCTTTACGAAGTAGCTGGATGACACCAGCCGGAGAACGAGCCACCGAGCGGACAAGGCGGGGCGGGCGAGCTCTCTGCTGCCGCCCTGCTGACGGTGCTGGGGGAGACGAACGAGAGACAGGCAGTTCTAGGGGCTGCTGGGAGACGGACACGGAGAGACGCGGGTACTTACGTCACTGGCCAGCTTCTCGTACTCCTCCATCAGGTGCTCGTTCTCCTGGTTGACCGCCAGCACCTTGCAGATGCGATTGGCTGCCGTCTCGGCCTGTCAGGGAGCACAGGTGTCAGCGCAGGGCGGCCCTGGGTTCCAGGCCGCGGGCTGTGAGGAATCCCTCGGCAGCAGGCGGCTTCGGGATTCCTCCGCGACTTCCTGATGTCACAGATTACTTTCCCTAGCAGAATACAGCCCGAGACTCCCCATGGAAGCGTCGGGGGGGAAACTCCGGCACGCAGTGGAAGAGCCGGCTGTCTGGCGGCTCAAGGAGGCACAGGGCCGAGCCTCCCCCAGGCTGCCACGGGCTTCATGCGTCAGCTCCTGCCTGCGTACAGCGTGCAAATATAAAGGGGCCCCCCACCCAGTGACACGGGGGAGCCCCAGCAGCCCCAGCAGCCCAGGGACTGGGGTGGGGGACGATCTATCCTGCACGCGGCTCTGCGTTCTCACTCCTCCCACCTCAAAACACGAAATGCCCGAGGTGCCCACGGCAGACACGACTCCTGGGAGTGCCGGCGTCCCGGGCTGGGGGCTGGGGGGAGGTGTGCCCGGAGAGCAGGACGAGCCTCTGGACTCGTGCAGCTCAGACATCTTCCTATCTGCTGCTCCCAGAGGTGTGAAGTACACAGAGGGGCGTTTTCCCAGTGTGTCTTTAAACTGGTTGTGCTGTACTGGGCTGCAGCTTTAACGCTGTGACATTTTGACTGAAAGACACTGGGATAGTGCGACAGGGTTAAGGCAGCCCCAGTTTGCTGGAGGGATCTGTGCCCTAGACTGGAAAACCCAATGAACTAGGCACATCTTCAAGCACATCTCAATCCTGCAAGAGTGAGTAAGCAATTCAGAACTCGTCAGAAACCAACCGAAACAGAGCTTACTCACTTGTGTAAGCTGCTCAGGAAGAGGAGGAGAGCGAGCGAGCGCGGAAGCGAGAGAGTGAGGAAGAGGAGGAGAGTGCGAGAGCAGGAGCAGGAGAGCGAGAGTGTGAGGAAGAGGAGGAGAGCAAGAGAGAGCAAGAGGAGGAGAACAGCAGGAGAGCGAGAGATTGAGGAAGAGGAGGAGAGCAAGAGGAGGAGAGTGAGAGAGCAGGAGCAGGAGAGCGAGAGTGTGAGGAAGAGGAGGAGAGCAAGAGAGAGCAAGAGGAGGAGAGCGAGAGCAGGAGCAGGAGAGCTAGAGAGTTAGGAAGAGGAGGAGAGCAAGAGAGAGCAAGAGGAGGAGAGCAGCAGGAGAGCGAGAGAGCAGGAGCAGGAGAGCGAGAGAGTGAGGAAGAGGAGGAGAGCGAGGCAGAGGCGGAGAGAGTGAGAGACTGAGGAAGGGGAGGAGAGCGAGCGCAGGAGAGAGAGAGAGCGAGAGCGCGGGAGAGTACCTTTCAGAGAGAGGAAGGAGGGGAGGAGGGAGAGATGGAGCGCCCCGACAGCAAGGAAGGAGGCGGCCGCCGAGGATGACAGAAGGGGAGAATCTGAGAGAGAGAGAGCAGGGAGTGAACGGCGACGGGCCCGGACCAGGACAGGCGGGGGGCAGGAAGGTCCCACAGCGGCCGGGGAGCCAGCCGAGGAGAGATCGGGGCGCAGGACGCGGACAGAGTGGGGGGACTGGGACGCTGCGTGCTCTCCTGTCGGACTGCAGGGGGCGCAACCCCGAGCGGCGCAAGCTCTGCTCCAGTCAGCCGCAGGGCTCCTCAATTCAGCACCGAGGCCTCAGTTACAGCACACGGCCACTAGGGGGCGTCTCACAGGCCAGCGAGCAGGACCTTGGCACCATGTCTCCTCCGAAAACAGGGATCAGGAACTCAATTCGGGGTCACAGCAGGAGCAACGAGATCGAGAGGAGGCCACTCTGCCCAGCTAGGAACTCTAGGAGTAGATGACTGATTTGCGTCGACAGGTGGCAGTTCTTTACACAAAGGGTTGTGGGAGGATGGAACAAGCTATTCTGCCCTGTCGCCGTAGCCCATTCCCTGGCTGCCTCCAGCTACAAGCTACCAAACAGGCTGAGTGGTCTCCTCTCGGCTACAGCCGCTCGTCTGTAACGCACAAGAACGCTTCGCCCTCTCGACCGGGCCAGCTGGCCTGCCGTCCCGAGCAGAGACGGGCAGCAGAAGGGAGCAGAGCCAGCCTGCTGCCGCCGGCGGGGCGCGCGTTCGCGAGAGTGCGCGTGCGCGAGAAAGCTGACGGCCGGGCAGGGGGTTGTCCCCCTCCCCCACCACCATCCTCGGGGCTCCCCGCGGCTCATAGCTCACCTTCTGAGCCCCCGAGAAGGCGTGATAGAAGCAGGAGACGTAGGTCATGATGGCCTTCTCGTCAGGCCGCAGCGTGCCCACGATGTCTGCCAGCGAGGAAGCGCGTGAGCAGGGAGGGGGAGGGGGGGGGAGACAGGAGGGGGAGGAGAGAGAGAGAAAGCAGTGAAGCCCAGACCACCCCAGACCCCAGAGAGCGCCTGCGTGGGAGGAGATCCGGCCGCGCCAGCTGAAATCCAGTGGGAAAACACCCAGGAACGACAGGGAAACACCCCGGTCACTGCTGCGCTCCCTGCAGACGGCCAAGGTCCGAGCGGCGTGCGCACAAGCACTCCCAAACAAGATCTCACTGGCAACAAATACTGCAGACCCGCGTCTTACTCTGAGCCCAAAATAACGTAAAAAACCCGCTGTCTCCACCACACAACAAGGCCCTGACAATAAACCTGTCCCAGTGCGCAAATACTGCCCTTCTGCATAAACGTCTACATCAGGCCCTGCGGACATTGCTAGGCCAACCTACGCTGGATACTTCTGTGCTTGTGCCAGCTCCATTTTGAGCCGCGTGTTGTGTCACTGTGCCATTCTGGGTTTTACCAGCAGTAGGGCTCCTGGTCCCAGCTCCTGGGGCTGGCTGCGGTCATGCAACTTTACCAGGAACACACTTGCACCAAAAGACGTGCAAGGCCTAAATCACAACAATTGTAACAATTTGTAAAACCGAGGACAGTTATAGCTAGTTTACAGCCTACTGCTACTCCTTAAAACTTGGGCTTCCCCCTCACTCACGGTAATTCCAAACCTTTCCTAGCAATCAAACATGGTAAAATAAATCCTAATTCTCTCACACTGGCTGAAAGAGAAAAATACAAATTGAAGTCTCCTTGGTAGCATAAAGGCCTCTGTGCCACACTGAAGGCCACCGGTGAGCAAAGAGCCTGCCCTCTTAAAGGGATCGCCAGAGAGCCTGCCCTCTTAAAGGGATGCAAAGGAACAAGTAATAGGTTTATTCCACGGTGACGCAGCTCCCCACCTGAACTCTTAAAGGGATTGCCAGAGAGCGAGCCCTCTTAAAGGGATTGCCAGACTGCACCTTAAAGGCCTGATCTCATGATCTCACTCAGGAGCCATGACTGTTGAAGACAGCTGTAATGGCATCAAACCTGTTTTGCTCGACTGTTGAAGGCTGCCCGGCCAGCTTCCTGAGGAGGAGTTAAGCATACCGACAGCGTGCTCACTGTGCGGTGAACTGTGCCCCCCCGGAGACCCATTTAAACAAGAAAGCAGCGGGTGAGATTTTCCAGTCGGAGAGGGCGGGGGCGCAGAGGTAAACAAGTCTCCTTTGGGAGCACCGGAGCCAGCGTGGGAGCAAAGCACCGTCGCCACACTAATAATACGTACAAGCAGGAAAAGCAGGCTGAGAGGCCTCCCCGCTATAACCAGAGCCGATCGGGGCAGACCACCACACCCGGAGGAGCAGGGGAGTATTTGTTGCCAGATAAGTTTCCTGGTCCCTGTGCTGCACACGTTTCCTGACCTCTGACCCCCTGACCCCTGACCTGCGGGCTGGCTGGACCGACTGAAGTGACTCCTGAGAAAAATCCATTCCCCCTCCCCCCGAGCATTTTCTGGGTTTGTGATAAATGCTCCCCCAAACTGATCTTCCAGCGAGCATCAGGGAGTGGGTCACGCCTGGAGTCGCGCCCAACAGGTCCCTCAGTCCCAGGAGCCTCGGCTCGCAGGGGAGCGGGGCCAGCACAGCCCGCTGGGAAGAGCGCAGAGTGACGCCAGGATGTTTCCCGTGCCGGAGGAGAAAGCCATGCACAGAGATTCTGCCAAGTGTTTTTGGGGTGCCGGGGTGAGGGAGGGTGTGGGGGGTGGGGGTGGTGTCACCCGCTCCCTCCACTTCCTTCCACCCCTAAAGTCCCGTAAATAGCGGGGTACCTTCTGAGCTCCAGAGAAGGCATGGTAGAAACTGGACACATAGGTCATAATGGCTTTCTCATCGGGGCGAGCCGTGTTCACAATGTCTGTAGGGAAACCACAGTTACACACAGGAATGCACACCGGTCAGTGCGCACGCACACACACACACACACAGCTCTGCTGCAGGATGGCCTAGCCTGGTCCCCGCCCACGATATGACACCCACACACCACACAGGACTGGAGATTGTTCATATCAAGTCAAACACTGATGGGCGATTTGCTGAACAGAACTCATGTCAAAACAAGTTCTGTGTTTGAACTGAACAGGCCCTGCTTCACGACAGCAGCGGCTTCTCCTGCCCCAGTGCAGTCGGAGGGGCGCGATGAGGGCGGGGCGGAGTACGATACACACTCGCAGTCAGACACACCAGAGCCCTGGGAGAGACGGGCACA